TTCAAACACAGGCTCCACCACTGGCACATCTACTCCAGCTGCTTCAAACACAGGCTCCACCACTGGCACATCTACTCCAGCTGCTTCAAACACAGGCTCCACCACTGGCACATCTACTCCAGCTGCTTCAGTCCGATCCGCCACCATCTGAATTTCCTTTGCAGTTTCTCGAGACACTGTCAACTTGGCTGCCTTCTCCTTCATAAGGACAGACACATCGCTAAAGTTGGGCCTCCTTGCAACAGCACCATTCCACAACTGGATAGCTGGTTTGGGGTCAAATCTATAATAAAATATTATGTTGTATGCGATTGAGCTTGTCGTCTTGTGTTTTTCTCCCTTGTTGGCAAGTCTTATGTTTTATTATTATTTTTCAGAAGAATATTTAATGTTTTAATAGCTAAAATGACAAGTGATTAAGTCACTTCTCGTGTGACTGCTTACTGGTCAATTGGCGGCGAGTGGAGTCTGATGGTCATTTGGTAAGACAGGGATTCCTCAGACAAAGAGGATCTGAACGTCGTCTTCACTGACTTCATTGGACAAAAGTCACGTTCACATTCAGATGACGAACCTGCAAAGATAACATAGATCAGGACTAGTCAAATAATTTTGCTTATTGCCATATAGGTTTTGTGAAATATTTTATAAATTGATTCAAGCTAAACTTAGATGATTAAGGATTTTTCTTTTCTATCTCACAATTTTGGTTTATTAAAAAATAGTTACCAGGAATGGTCAGGATGAGGTCCATTACAGCCAGGATATTTGGGTAGTTGTCCGGGTATATTTCATTCACCCTCTCCCAGGTGAGGTTCTTGACATTCAGGTCACTGAAAGACAATTTAAGATCATCTCTATTTTTAAAATTGATCTAGAGATAACAAATTTAATGATGATATATTACAATACTCCACCAATTAATAACTTTGCTGTGTTCTTATCCCATTACGTTAGTAGCTTTTTGAAATAATACCTGGAATATAGTGCACTTTTCAATGCTGTCCACTCAATTGCAGCCTCTACTGTGTTGCTGGAGTCCAGGCATGAAAGGAAGTGGTCAATCAAAACAGCCAGTTGATCATCACCGAAATCTATAACAAATGAAATGTAATGCATGTGAATCATGGCAAGATAAGCTTTAGCAATTTTCAAAATCAGTCGTCCATGGGTCAGCTGGAAACTAGATAACAAACAGCAATCATGTCACTGAAAATTAAAACAAAGAAAACTGTAACAAGGGTCAAAACCAAAAAATAATAACAACTAAAAAAAGAATTCTGAAATGAAACTCAAAAATACCAAAAAATGTTGGTGAACTAAACTCCAGGAACATTATTATATAACCCAAACGGTTAACCTGTTATCTCAGTGCGGTTGTTGTCACTTTTCATAGGCCAAGACTTGAAGTTCGAAATTGACATGGCTTTGATGATGGCTTCACATTCAAATCTGCTTTCAAGGCTTTTTTTCAGTTCGTTTACCAGTCGCTGCCGTGCTGATGGAAAGGACTCTCCTCTACGTTGATTAAGACTAAGAGGTTCCATGTCCTCGTCAGTGTCTAAGCCTAATGCGTGTTTCCCTTTGCGGAGATATGGCCCATCCCTGAATAATTATTTTAAATTGCACAATGTTTCAAGAATAATGCAATTTAATATTTCTGATAATGCCAAGAAATTAATTGCGACTATTTATTACATACATAGGTGTGAAATATAGGAAAATACGCAGGGAATAAAAATCATACAACCACTAGTGAGATATGAAGTTTATTTCACTAGTGAATTATCATTTTGCACCGGACGTCATGGTAATGCAACCAGCACTACTTTCATGAAAATTGAAGTATAACTATAAGCTAATGAAGCAATGTATATTACTGTTTTATGTGCAAATGTATGTAATAAACAAAATACTACACTGGGTGCTGTTGAATACTGAAAATAAATCACTCGTGTCCGGATAACGCAGGCACTCACGAGTGCGCTTGTAGTATCCTCTATTTATTACACTCGGATTAGTACTTACTTGGTGCCATGATAGAGATCGATAAGATTGTTGGTCTCCTCCACCATTCCATAAATGTCTGCGGCAGAACACTCCCGTCTCTGAAACACCCTGGACAACCTGGAGAGGATGGTAGCGATGTACGCCAAGAAGTAGCAATACAGCATCACATGGGGGTACTTCAGAAGCTTTAAGAGGCCCTTAGCTTTGCCACTGGTACTTGATGAAGATCTTCCCACAGTCGAGGAACAAATCTGAATTAAATATTAAATAACATAATTTAAGCCTGTATCAAGAAATGTATGGATTGCATTTGTAAATAAAAATAAAATAAGCATATAATTAGCTTTAATACATCCCTCCAAAAATACACTATTCCAGCCTAAGTTTAAGTTTCTATTCTACATTATATTGTTTAATTAATTCGAAAGTTAATCACTTGCTCCAGATGTTGTCGGACAGCGTCATAGCCAGCTAGAAAGTTTTCCAGTGTCCTGAGCAAGTGTCCAACCCATCGTGTTCCTCCAATTCTTGTTGGGAAAACCACTTTTTTTCTCAACAGTGTTAAACGAACTTCTCAAGTTGGATCTGGTAAATATTAAAACTATGTATGTTATTATGTGAATTATCAAAATTTCCAAATTGTAACTAATAAAGCATTACAAAATATTAAATAACAAATGTATAGCATGTCTAGTTACACTATAGCTTCCATTTACCACACTTTTTAATACTAAAATTAATAAATATTACATTTGAAATAAACAGAAAATAAACAGAAAACTAGACTACCAGTTCAGTTATTTAACTTAAATTATTGGATTACCTGTTCAGTGCACTGTTGTGATAAAAATAGTAAAGTCCCTGAAGAAGGTAGGTGGTGACTTTTGTATCCAGTGGAACATGCTTGATAGCATTTTTAAAGGCCAAATCCAACTTATGTGCGTAGCAATGCACGGCTACCATAGATGGCTGCAGTCTCCTCAGTTTTGCTCCAACGCCGTTGTTTTTTTCCTAACATCACGGATGCCCCGTCACTCCCCATTCCTACAAGCTTTCCCAGAAAATCAAAAATTAATCTAGATGGCCATTTTCATTTTTGCCAAAAAGTTGGCGTGGCTCGAAAGTAGGTCGACTGGCGTGCTCCAAAATAGGACGTTCAAATCTCTCCCATAAGAGTAACAACTATATGCAATTTGAAACATGTGGGTCAAACGGTTCTTGAGTTATCGTTGACCGTAGCCAAATGTCGACGGACGGACGGACGTACGACGGACGACACCCCATGGCAATAGCTCATCTTGACGATGTCAAGGCGAGCTAAAAATGTCAACTTCGTTCTATATGTTCCTGATCATAATAAGTGTATACCTTCATTCTTTAGCCCTTCCGCTTCCTCCTTCTGTTCTGCAGTTGGTCCTGCTGGCTTTTCATCCTAGAATGAACGTCATAAGCTAGAACCAGTCAAGACATGATAAAGATTACCATGCGTAAAATGACAACATGCTCGTTCACTGAATAATTTCAGCACAGCAACAGCTAACGTTAATTTTTACGCACGCATTCCAACCAGATGAAATTAAAGGGGGAAAAATTTCTGTTACCTTTGTAGCTTCTTGAAATATAGAAAGAAGTGGCTTTGACACCCTCAGCCGTGACGCAACCTCCGGGTCACTAGGTGTGATGCCAAATGCTGTCTCCAGACATTGCACAGTAACTATGAATACAAGCAGCAATTTGCTATGTGTAACGCCCTAAAACCACTTGGCCTATTTTTGTACACACATCGGGGTAAGAACCCCACGCTTTCCTCCCCAATCAATTAACCTAGTTATCTGAGTAGATCACTATCCATTCTCAAAAACTATTGGTCAAAATTCTTAAAAAACAACACAAGCATGGCTGTAACACAATGCTCGGGCATGCTTAGTATTCATTATATTATCCAGAGCCAGATAATCTAGTGCTAACCTGGCTACAATAATTTACTATTAGGTAGCCGATTCAAAAACATACTAGCTACGGTAAAACTCGCATAAGACGCCATCGTCTAGCACGTCAATTTGCTGAAGTCGTCATCGAAGTCAAAGTACCGATTTTCTCTAATGATAAATCCATTTGAATAGCCCCGCCAAAGTCGTCATTTACAAGCCGTCATTATGTACAGGTCATCGTCCTCAGACAGGTCCCATGTAATACAAACAACATTAAAATCCTATCTGTATGTCGTTATCAGAAATGCCGATGACACAGTGTATGCAGCCCAATTAGGCTTAGATACAAATATCTCGAAAAATGGCCTAAATATGTTTCCGGAAATTCTCCAAAAAAATCTCTAAATATCTAAAAAAAAATTCTAAATATCCCCCAAATTTGTCTAAATATCTCAGTTATTTCAACGTAATGTCTTTTAAACATACTTATTGTGTGCAAAAAAATCATACGCTGTTTACGAATCTCCATTCGCTGGATTTCCCCGGAGCTCCGCCCACTTTAAAAATAGTGCTAGCATTGTGGCAGTGGTATTCTGAGTGTACGAAGAGGCACTGCATGCAGTTTGCACCGCTGGAT